GACTTAATCTTCATTTCTATTTTCTAGAAACTCAATATAATCTTTAAGATCCATCTTATCATGTTCTTTGATTAACTTAGAATTTAATTTAATTAATTGTTTGTAGGATAGAAATAACTCACAATAATCTTCTTCATCAGAGACCTTCAGTAAAATATGTTCACTTTCTTCATCGAATGCTAGATATGAAGAATCTTCTAACATTATCTGAGAAGTTAAGTCTTCAAGAATTCTTCTTGACATTGAGTCTATAAAGATTTTGTTTGTTGATAATTATTTTCCATTTGTTATTTCAAAAAATCCACTATCTGAAACTTCTTCATCTTTTTTCATATATTCTTATTGATGAAGTTTCTTCATTATTAGACGACGAATCTTCTGAGAATCATTTGCCTACTAAAATTGTTCTTTAAAAATAATCTGTCAGAGTTGAATTTTATTCTTTAAAATAACTATTTGATTAGGTTTGTAATTATTCTTCTAGGATTATTGACAACTGCTTGTTCAATAAGTGGGACTCCCGGGTTTCCTTCTACGTTTTCATCTCCAAGCAATTAGATGTTTCCATCTCTAAGCATTTAGAAGTCTCCGACATTGGATGTTTCCAGCTCCAAGCATTTAGACTCGACGACTTCTTTTTGTTTCCTCACCTCCGATAAGTGGGACTCCCAGGTTTCCTTCTGCTTTTTTATCTCTGATAACTGCTTGTTCAACTCCTCCATTTTGTCAGTCCAAACATTTAAATCGGCCTTCAACTGAGTCGCATCCTTAGTAAGGCGAGCCTCATTTTTCTCATAAGCATCACCTACTTCAAACAAACCCTGGGTCATAATTGTGCATCTCATCAAGTAGGCCCCTGGGTTTTTGGTCAATTGCTGAGCACATATAGACTTCATTTTCTCAATATCCTCGGTTGCATTCAGATAATCGTAGAGACAATCTTAGTCCATCAAAGCTATTGTACCAGAACTTAAACTCAGAAGAAGGTTTAAATTGATGACTACTACATGACTCCTTCATCAAGGTAGTAATTTTCAGGTCGGCTTGACTAATGTTGTCACTCAGAGTCTTCATTTTTTTTAGGAGAGCTCGACTTTAAGTCCTTAGGAGGAAGAACATAGGTCTGCTGGGGCTTTGATATGACCGGAAGTGCCTTATCCATGTCCACCTTTTTTCTTTTAAAGGTTCGGGTCTAAATATCTGTCAAGTCACTCTTAGAAGCAAATTGATCTCCACACCTTGCTTTGGCTTCGACCATCAGCTTCTTTTGTTCATAGAGTTTTAGATTTGTCATTTTTGCTGAAAGGAAAGGATCAGAATACAAATCAATGAACAAGAAGGATAATAATATCATGATAAAACGATAAATAAACACACATAAGCATTACCCAAAAAATAGAAATTTGTTTAGGGTCGCCAACCATCAGTAAAAGATCTTTAACTTTCACTATTTGAAAGGCATCCAAAACAGCCAAAGATCAGATTTCCAAAGCATTTAACTTATCATAGTCAAAGCCAGAGACCGGAAAAGGACTATACGACCAATAAATTGGGAAACGATAGTTCCCATCCAACACATACATAATCTGAGGACATCTTTTCCTACTCTTAACTCGAAGAAATTTATCCTCAAAACCCTTATAGGCGGTGGTGTATGCCTGTAGAAAGCTTTTCCCAGGAATTTCATTGAGAGAAACGAACATCCTTTTTCTACCCCTTTTAACTCAAAAGACGAGAAAAATAATCTCAAGGTCGGTGTTATATCTATTGTATCGCAAAAAATTTCAAATGCTTTGATAAAGCCCTAATCATTTGGGCGTAACTGAGAAAGAGCTATATTTAGGGTTTGGAGAAGATCATATTCAAAATTGGTAAACGGAATGCAGATTTGAAGTCCTCAATTAGTCCTTAAAAGAAATAGAAATATTCCTTCAATACTCCTTTGGGCCGAGTGATACAAACCCTCTCACCAATTATGCAGGGTTCCATTATAACATCCTCTTCATTCCTAGTTGAAGAAATTAGAGTATTAGAATGAAGCTTCAAGATGTAGTTCGTCTATGATATTGTGGTTATAACTCGGGACCTCTTTGTCTATTAAAGATCGTAGTGCTTCCATCTGAATATCCAAAAAACCTGAGGAGGAAGACTCTGAATCAGTGTTACTAATAGGTCAAGGGGTTTCACCATAAACTTCTCTAATAATCCGATCAAAGCCTGCTCTACTCAAATACCCCTCACACTCTCACATACAGGCATTCCAAATCTTATTTCTATCACTACCAGTAAGAAAAATTGAACATTTCTTGAAATAACGTTTTGAAATGAAGACATATTAAAAAGAACGAAAAAAGAAAAGGAAAATGATACTTGGAGATTGACGAAACGAGCGACGGATGACGACATGATCGATTTGTAAAGTGCTTGGGAAGGAGATTGCTTGAAAAATAAATATTCGAATAAAAACTAAGTCTTTTAAAACAACAAGTTTTGTAACGGTCATAAATTTCTATCTGAAAGGGTAATGATGAAAGTGTGAGTTCCCATAAAAATCATCATGATGAGGAGAGACAAAGACTTGTCATTAAATGGAAAACACTCTCCGCGCAAGAGACCGATTAAGAGAGGAAGGAATTCTAAGATTGTCTTGTTTGAACACTTCAATCCAAAAAGATCTCGTGATCGGGGCTTACGTACATCCCAAATTTTCTTGAAGCCGAGTTGGTGAAGAAACAGACTATGAAAAGGCAAGCAGGTCGGATGAACTCAATCGCGTATACAAGTCGGATCCGTTTAGGAGCACTAAAAAAAGTAAGTCGGAGTCGACCTCATGCATATAAGTCGGATTCGGTGTCACTACTAGGGTATCATTTGAAGGGTCGCAAGAAACAGTTACAGAATGCTCCACGAAGGTATAAAGTTACAATTATTGTTGGGAAAGACGTTACATGACAATTATAAGGGCGACAAACGTTACTTGAGATTGTCTTTATGAAGGATATGAAAGGACAAACATTAATGGATGTTGAGTATGTCGAGTCATATAAATATGAGGCTTCTTGGAGGAAGAAAACAATCAAAAATTTAAAATAAAATAAAAAAAAACATAACAGACACTTAAACCAATTATTTTAGGCTCTCTTTGACGGATAACAAGGAAGTTAACCATTTGGTGTTTTTCAGCAATAATAATAGCAATTACGACTAGCGGAAGAGTAGCGTTAAGAATTCCAACCACTTTCTCGTGGTCTCAAAACCCTAAGATCCATTTTCCTTATTCTTGCCTCTCATTTGTATTATTTCGAAAGAATTTTGTAGTAGTTCTTCGTCGCTCGTATCTATGAGAGAGATCTAAGATGATTTTGGATTGGATTATTCTAAGATGCTATTGGAAACGAGATATGTAGTTACTTTCTCCATCTCAGTGTGATTGGTATAGAGATCGAGAGTATGGATCAAAAGAGATGTGATTGATCGTGGAAATTCACATGAATTCAAATTCAAATTTCTCACAGATTGCACCACTTTTTGTTCTGGAACCGGAATTGTTGATGAACTAGTGAGGTTGACTCTCTACGTGATGGGACAGATGACTCATGCGGCAACATGGAGGTAGATCTGCAAGGTTATCACTCCGACGATCAAGACAGTAATTAAATCAGAAAAGGGTAGCATGAATTATGGTGAAATCACACCTTCGGTTTCACGTGTGGTGATGTACATGTATATGCTATATGGTGAGTGGTTGGATGGTACTAAAATGGCAATTGGGTCCTTCCATTGTTGGTCTCTGCTGACGGCCCAAAACAGAGTTGATATCTAATACAAAATGATTGAGAAAAAAATCATGGTCAAATATGGTGTTGGACTCTTGCATACCAACTTGAAGCTCAATAGTTTCATTGGTAAGAAAATGAAGAGAATGCAGAGTTACCAGATGTGTTGCTGAATTTCCAATTTGCTTCAATCTATTCACAACATGTATCAAATAAGTTGATTAGTCACAACAATTCAACTGTTATTATGAGATTTTAGATTGCCTCTAAGCACTACCAGATATAACTGACTGCCGCTACACTATTATCGATAAATAATTTTTTTTCAGACACATCCATATGTTTTCAAAATCTCATTCCTAAATTCATGATGTGGCAGGATAACAGCAATGAGGAACCAGATGACATAGAAGCTTTTTTTTTCCAACCGTATGAACCCTTCCATCACTCTGAACTTGAACTTAAGCATTGAGAATAACCATATCAAACAAATTGAACACTATCTGCCAGACTTGATCAAACAATTGAGTCAGAGGAAATGATAACTTTGACATCAATTTCCTATTCTGCTCTAGTAACAAAACATTCCTAATTTTGTTTCTATGCATTTTATCATGAAGACTGAGTGAATTCTAATATGTCGTTCAAAGTTTGTATCTATAAAGCACTGATACCAGACATGTGTTAAGAGTTGGATAGGATCATGCCTTCAATCTTAACTGTCAGTGCTAGTGCTGCATAGGTTTGCACCATCCGCATTTGTATGAACTTTAAACAATGTACTTATTGTTGTGTAATGCCAAGTCTTTAGCAACAGACTCTTGGCTATCTTTATAATGCAGTATTCTTTCTAGTTGCATGACATGAAATAATGAATAGTATACAGTGAGTAACAAAGAGTCCCTTTGAATTTTAATTGCTTAAACAATGTTTGAACCATAGTTAGGAGAAAAACAATGTCAACAACCTTACATTCACCACTCCCAAAACTGGTAACTTCATATACACAAACATACAAAGTAAAAACCACCTCACCCAAGAAAAGAAAAAGAACACTATATTACTACAAGAACTGTATCTTAGAGAACTCTCTTGTACAAAACCAATTCCTCTGTATGAACTTGAAATCTATATATAAAATGTATCAACAATGTTTTTAAAAACAATCAATCAAATAAACAAACTACAATAAACCAAATATCAATTCTGTAACTTCAACTTGATCTAGTTTTGTATAGGACCAAGATTAGACCTCCCAATTCCCTGCTTCTCCTTCATGGAATTCATCTTAGCCATCCTCAACCCAGCTCTGAAATTCTGAATAAAGTTGTGAGCTTTGGTATCAACATCTGGGCTAGGACAAAACAATGAAGCTTCACTTGCATTTCCAATTTTAGTGACATTCTCTTCACCATCTTGAGCATAGGGACTATTACTACATTGGCTCGATTCATTTTGACTAATTGGTGACTCAACATTTTCATTTTCATCTGAATCTGGTGAACCACTCCTTGAACTTCCAATGCTGTCAACCCTAACATAGTCCCCCTGAACTCTGAACTTCCACGCCGGCAGCTTAAACGGTGGAGGTGGAGGTGGCGGAGGGATAGGAATTAAAGGTGACTCATTACCAGTAATCACTACATTCTTGTCTAATCTATAATTAGAATGTTCTCTCTTGGTTGGAAACTGAGGTTTATGTGTTGCCACAGGAACAAGGTAATGTTTTTTGTGTTTGCTTTTGTTGGAATAGAACATGTTGTGAAAAACTGACGGTGGCGGAGGTGGCGGAGGTGGTCCCGGTGGTAATGAAACATGGGGAAAAGGTTGAGAATTTTGTATGGTCTCAAAATTTTCAACACTTTTTTGTCTTTGTTTCTTCTTCTTTCCTCTCAATGAGGTCAAAAACTCTTTAGTTGCATTCCCTCTTTTCTTCTTAACCGGAATTCCAATCTTCCTCTCTTCCGTCAACGGAGGAGCCACTGCCGGCGGCGGTTGAGAACTCTCTGCCACAAAATCATTACGTTCAAATTTATCGATCGTTTCAGATTGATATGTTCGATTGACATTTCTTCGAACAGGTTTCGTTCTCGTCACCGGAGGCAGATTTAGTTCCGGTTCCAGCACCGGCAAGGAAAATTCCTCATAAGTAAAAGTTGCCGCGTTTTCTGTAGATGCACTTCTAGTTTTCTTCCTCCTCCCAACCGGTAGCGGTTGCAGCGGCGGCGAGGAAAATTCCTCATAAGAGAACGTTGCCGCGTTTTCTGTAGATGCACTTCTAGTTTTCTTCTTCCTCCCAACCGGTACCGGTTGCAGCGGCGGCGGCAGTGTGTTCTCAGTAACAGAATGATTGATTTCCGGTTTCTCAATCGTTTCCACCTCATATAAACGCTCAAAGCTTCCTCGATCATCTTCACTTCCACAATCCATCACTGGTTCCATCTCCGGTAGCCGCATCGGAGATAAACAAACTTCACCGGAAGTAACCGTTTCCCGATAAACTTCATCTTCAGCTTCAAGTCTCGAGTACCGATGACGAAACTGAAAATGAGTATCATCATAAAACCGGTACCGTTCTTCATTAGCAACCTCCAACGACGGCGGTTGCCGAAGATCCGGATAAGATCCAACGCTTCTCAGTCGGTTAAACGACCGATCAGAATTCTGATACCACGACGGCGGCGTATTAGGGTTCGAGAAGCTTCTATCAAAACGCGGAGTATGCGTTTGCGTTTGCGTCTCATTGGTGTCGTTTTTAGTAAGGAAGCCACAAACGACAGCGAAGAGAACGAGTATGAGGTTTAAATAATCCCAAGAGTGTTTAACCGCTTGGGGTTTAAAGATGTTAGAACTGAAAGAACGTAAAGTGGGGACCACAACGACTGCGAAAACAAGCGCCGTTATGAAGACAAGTACGAGGAAGGATGTTGATGTTAGGAAGATGGAGTAAGTGCGGCGGAGACGGCGGTGGTTGTTGGGTTTTGGAAGCCAGAATGGTGACATTGGTGATGTATCTTGTTCTTGTTCCATCGGAATGTAATGTAATAAACTAATAATGTACTATGATGTTTTCTTTTTGTCGTGTTTTTTGTGTGTTTTGGTTGGAAGAAAATGAAAAACGCACTTTGTTTGTTTTTGCTTTGTGAGTATGGATTATGATATGATAAAGAATAAATATATATGATTATGAATAATATGATTTAGGAATGGTGTGCCAGTTGGGGTGTGAAAAAGAAGGAAGGAAAGGGTGTTGGCAAAAGGTTGTATGAAATGATGACAGCTAAGGTAAAGATGGAAAAAGGAACAAGGTAAGGTAAAGCATGTGCATTTTGGCTTTGGGCTTGACTTGACTTTACCTTAAGATGAAAGTACTATTGGTAACGTGATTTATCTAATCAATTTGAGGCATCAACATTCTTAATGTTCTTAATTTATTTATGCATCATGCTCATCATATATTAAAGAGGCCGATTGCGATTCAGAGAGAATCTGTAATGGAAAATGGTAACACAGCATCAACGTAATTTTCAGCAAACCTATAAGTTTTCAAAGGGGAGAACTATGAGAGGTGGGTTGCACAAATGAATGTCATATTCAGATTTCAAGATGTGGCTAAAATCTTGAATGATGGAATACCAACATTGGAAGCGAACGCAAATAATGTTCAAAAAGTTATGCACACATCACTTAGCAATTTCATTTTAATCAGAATTTCCTTTTCAATATAGTTTCTCTCTTTCTCTCTTTTCTTCTTCTTCTTCATTCCTCTTGAAACCCTAATTGTTCCAATCACTTGGTATCACTGAGTCCTGTTGCAATTCAGAGAGAATATGTAATGACAAATAGTAACACAACGTCAAAGCAATTTCTAACGTACCTATCGATTTTGAAAAGGAAGAACTACGAGAGGTGAGTTGCGCAAATAAATGTCATATTCAGATTTCAAGATGTGGTTGAAATCGTGAATGACAGAGTACATGCATTAGAAGTGAACGCAAATGATGTTCAGAAAGTTATTCACATGGAACAAATGAAGAAAGATGGAAAAAATATGTTCTTGATCCATCAATATGTGGATCCTAACGTGTTTGAGAATATCGTTGAAGAAGAAACAACCAAGAGAGCGTGTGACAAGTTAAAGAACTTGTGCGGTGGAGATGAAAAGTTGAAAAGGGTGAAGTTGCAGACATAGAAAAAACAATTTGAGATGACTCAAATGAAAGAAGATGAGTTAGTTTCAGAATTCTTTATGCATGTGGTATCTCTAACAATCTAGATGAAGGCCAGTGATGAATCAATCACTGATCTGCAGAAGATTGAGAAAGTGTTGAGATCTCTGACTAAAATGTAATTATAATGTTGTGTCCATTGAAGAGTCCAAGAACCTAGCTGAGATGAAGGAGGAAGAACTTCAAGTTTCATTGGAGGTTCATGACATGAGACTGAAACAAAGGAACTCGGAAAAAGAGAAAGTGGAGGAACAGACAATGCAAGCAAGATTCACCAAGAAATCTAGGAAAGAAAAGACAAAGTAGAGAAAGAATCTTGCTAATGATGAGAAGTGAAGCAACAATTCAAATAATCACTTTGAATCAACCAAGAAAGTCATGTGCAACAAGTATTCACAAAATAAAATTGACATGAAGGAGGTGCAGTATTACAATTGTCAAGGATTTTGTCATTATGCTTGAGATTGTCGAAGAAAGAATAAATCATAAGCAAAAGATGATGACGAAGTGCAATATGCACATGCTGGAGAAATCAACTCTAATGATATGTTGTTTATGGTAGATATTTAGTCGAAGAATGAGAAAATCAATATGTGGTATATGAATTTAGGATGCAACAACCACATGTCTGGTAACAAAAACTAGTTCACCAAGTTAGATGAATTGGTTTAAAAAAGTGATCAGGTTTGCAGATGGCAGACATGTTACATTAATTGGAAGAGAAAACATAGTTATGGTGCGAAGTGATGGTCAAAGGGCCAATATTAATTATGTATTGTATGTACCTTCAATGACAAGTAATTTGATAAGCATGAGTCAATTACTTGTCAAAGGGTATAACATGAAGTTTGAAGAAAATCAGATGAATGTGTATGATGGTGAAGGAATGATGATTCTGAAGGCATCATTGGTAAATAACAAAACCTTCAAGATTGAGATCGACATGGTTGATCATCTATGCCTTGCTTCGATAGTTGTAGAAGACAAGAACTGGTTATGACATCACATATATGGATACTTAAACTTTAGAGGTCTAAGTACGCTCAACTAAAAGAAGATGGTGTATAGCTTACCTCGGGTGAATGAACCAAGTCGAGTATGTAAGGAATGTTGCAAAGCAAAACAGACTAGGAAAGCAATCAAACATGACCATTCCATGAAGTCGAAAGAAAATCTAGAGCTTGTTCACTCTGACATGTGTGGACCTTTTGAAGTAAGGCCAAATGAAGGTAACTTTTATTTCCAAACTTTCATAGATGAATTCACTAGATATTTGAGAATTTATCTTATTGAAAGAAAGACTGAGGTATTCATACAGTTCAAGAAACTTAAATTTCACGTCGAGAAACAAAGTGGATGCAAATTAAAAAATTGAGAAGTGATGGTGGTGGTGAATATACTTCTAGAGAATTGCAAGATTTTGAAATGGTGAAGGTATAAAGTATGCACCCTATACACCTTAGCATAATGGCATAGCTAAGAGGATAAATAAAAGTATATTGTACATGGTTAGAAGCATGTTGAAAGCTAAAGAAGTGCCAAAAATATTTTGGGGTGAAGCAGCTTCGACAATAATATACATTCTAAACAGATGTTCAACAAATAAGATAGTCGAGAAGACACCTTATAAGATTTGGGTAGGATTGAAGTCAAATGTTAGTTATCTTAGAGTCTTTGGATCAATGTGTTTCAGACATATACTGGAACAATTGAGGAAAAAGCTAGATTATTGATGTCAGGCTATGATGCTCATAGGTTATTATTCGACTGGCACATATAAATTGTATTCACCAAATAATGATAAACTAGTGATCAGTAGAGAAGTTATGGTAGACACAAGCAAAAGGTGGAATTGGATTCAAGGGTCAGTTCAAACTCATATGGATGGAGTTTAAAGATACAAGTGAAGGAATGTTTATGCACCAGAAAAAGTATGCCCAAGACATGTTAAAAAGGTTCAAGATGAGCAATTATAATGTAACTGCCACACCATTGGAGACTGGAGCAAAGTTCAGAAAGGATACAAAGGATGAGTTTGTAAGTGCAACAATGTACAAGCAAATCATTGGATCTTTGAGGCATCTTTGCCACACAAGGTCACATATTTGTCAAAGTGTTGGGTTGTTGAGCATATTTATTGAGAAATCACAAGAGTGTCATCTGACTGCAGTCAAAAGAGTATTGGGAAACATAAAAGGTACTATTGATCATGGTGTTGATGCCAAGATAGAAGAGTGTCATTTCGGCATCTAGATCAGAAATCATCTTCTTCGTTTGAGTGTAATCGTTGAGGCGATGCGTGACTTTGGATTAGAAGGGATCTGATTGAAGAAATTTGTAGAAATCAGAGGTCTATTTGCACAAACAGTGCCAATGTTGAGTTAGGGAACCATAAGTAGACAGTGAAGTGTAGAAATGAAGTCTTGGTGCGATAGAGAAAGCTTCTGGTACGACACCCGTGAAAGTGAAAATGAATTGAATACCTGAAATAATGTGTGTTGCATTTTATATATTGTGAGCGGTTAAAACCATCTCTAGGTGATCGGACGCCTCATGCATATTGTCGTATAGTCAAATTTAACGGTGAGAAACGTGCTGGAGACTGGAGTCATGTGTCCTAGGCCGAGCGAGGTCTCACCTAATTTGCATATTTTTCTATACAATGTTTATTATGTCTTTCATCGCAAATCTTGTGAGCAGCCCAGAACAATTACTATTCATAATTTAACTTAACGTTACATATGTATGTAACTAGAAAAAGTTCTTCAATATAAAGATAGTCAAATGTCTTTATCGAAAGAGTTAGGTTTCTTCGAATGAATTTTAATTTTTAGTTTTTAAAAACTATTTTATAAATCAATTTTAAAGAATAATTTTGAAGAAAAAATAAAATAAAACAATAAAAACTGTTTTAAAGTTGCACAATATAACAAATTTCTCATCAATAAAAAGTATATCACTTTTTCTTGTTTTCCTTTTTCTGTATCTAATTTTCAAAACTAAAAATTAAAAATTAGAACTTCTAAAAGTTGTTTTAGTTTTCTAATTTTTAAACCTCTTAAATAGAAAACAGTTTTCAAAGTAATTTTACAAAATTAATCTATTAAATTTAGTTTCATTATTTTTAAATTTAAAAAATTAAAAAACAGTTTTATAAAACTAAATCAAACATACCCTTACCATTTCACATTTCACAGACAACAGTTTAAAGTTCATACAATCAAGGATGATACAAACCTAGATAGCACTGGCACTACTTCATATTAGAGGCATGTTGGTATCCAACTCCAACACATGTCTCATGCCAGTGCTTTGTAGATAGAAATTTTAGGCTCTAAGAGTTTGGTTAACTATATTCTTACATAAAAACAAAATTAGGAATGTTTTATTACTAGAACAGAATAGGAAATTGATATCAAAGCTATCAATTCCTTACACTCAGTTGTTTGACTAAGTCTGGCAGAGAGTGCTCTTTCTTTACACTCTCAATCCACCTTGCTTTGATACGGATCTTCTCAATGCTTAAGTTCAAGTTCAGAGTGATGGAAGGATTCATACGGCTGCCGAAAAATGCTTCTATCTCATCTGCTTCCTCATTGCTGTTAACCTGCCACACCATGAATTCAAGGAATGAGATGTTACAGTTTTGACGCAAATTGGAAATTCGGTAATGTGTCCACTAACTCAGCTTTCTCGGCATTTTCTTACCAACGAAACTATCTGGCTTATAAAGTTGGTAAGCAAGAGTCCAGAACCATATTTAACCAAGATTCTTTCCCAATTATCCTGCATTACGTATCAAACCAAAAATAACTCCATAAGGTCAAAATAGAAATCTTTGTTCAAACACATTATAAGCTAAATGTTTCATACTTATTGGTGTTAGTTATACGAGTTAGTTTGAACTTGTTAACATGGAAGCACATACATACCTTCAACCATCTTACTGCAATTCCACTGCCTTCTAAGCTTATTCCTCCTAGTACATATATGATATCTTGATCTGGAATCTAAGAAATCATTTCGAAAAAGAAGGCCAAATAAGAAGGAATTTCATTTCATCTACTTATGACCAGAGATTGCGTATAAATTTTTTAATACCTCATTAGACAACAAAAGATTTAGAGCCTCTAGAACGACATTTGGGTCTGCACTTGATGCAATACAACCTGCAGGAGTTCATAAATAAACATGTTTAATCAAGTAACTTAGTACTATATTGATAAGTGATTATGGTGTTAGCGTATGATAAAGTCGTTTATGTAAGAAAGGCTTAAATGCTAGTGTCATACGCAATATATCGTCTCTTTCTTGCAAAACATCATTGCTTTTATAGAAACTCCATAGGGACTCGAATGCAGTCCTGCTTTCACCAGCAGTACTCCTCATCACAGCTACATAAGCAGCCTGAAAAATATTTTGCAAATTTACATGTCAAAAGTAAATTGAAAGATAATTCCGATAATCTTGAGGGAAAAAACGTTACCTTTCTGGTGTTGGCTGAAAGCAGAGAAGTGTTTCTGTCGTTCAACAAAATCTGAAAACGGTGTAGTGCTTCTTGTTGAGTTTTATCGTGATCAAAGGTAGCCAAGGCCTTAATAACTTCTCCCCTCAAAAGTGAATTAGAATGGTCTTCTCCAGATATAGAATCCCATCCTAACCGTCTGCAAAAACAGTAACTACGTCACTTTCTTGCAAGAGAAGCAACCGACTTTACGGTGAAGATTGCAACAGTCTTACTCTGCAGAATACATGAGAAGGTTGATAAAATATTGCTTCAATTCATTCACCGAGCCTGGAATGGCATCAATGGCGATATTCAGAACATCATAACAAACCTGTCATAAAAAAGAATTACGATATATCGTGTCACTATAGATAGATGTTATTAGATAAAGTATAATAGATGTATATACTTACTTCAATCAGTCTCGATACAATAACATAATCTAACTCTTTTCGATAAGCATCCACTAACATAAGCAAAGATAACAGCGACTGTTCGCAAGCCTCACATAGCGCGTTTCCATCGTCCAAAATGCCTGTAAAATTAAAAAACACCTCTCTTAAATAAAACCGCCTAGAAAAGAAATTGTATCGTAGATTTATAGATTCTATTCATTTATCATTATGACTTTGCACACACCAAATTTATCAGTAGGAAGCAAGGAGTTGTTTTGTAAGGCTTTCCTCAATCGAATTGCGAGCTTGTCTTCATAATTCACCCTATAAAAACCACTTTGATCAACATTGACTTTGATCCATTGATTTTCTTGACTATCCTCATCATGCTTCTTTTCATTTGAATTTACATCATCACCAATATACTGAACCAGTTTGGATATATCCACCCTTCCGTCGCTTCTCTCCAAAAGATATTTTTTCTGTTTTTCATATGAACCAACACACAAGGTAATCGGAACAATCCACTGTCCTTCAACTTGAAGACCGGATAAAAGGAACCGCGACTGCAAATTCAAATGCCAATAATAGTAACTTTCAAAGGTGATAGTTGAAAAAGCCCCGACTATGATGCATGTTGGTTTTTATTGCAACTACATAATATATACCTGTTTGAATTCCATAATGTTATCTGTTAATTGAACATGAATAACTGGATATCCGGTGCTCTTTGTCCAAGCG